GGGGGGGGGGGGAGTGGTGGGACATGAAAGGAGTGCATCGTGCATGCGAAAAGCATCGGGGATGTGTCAAGGGCCGTCGGAGGTTGCCCAACAGCTTGGATGGGATTCGATTGGACGCCGCAAATACGACATAGTCTCGGGACAACGAGGGTGAAGTTCAACTACACTGTTCTCTGGAGCTGGAAAAAACACGTAGTCAGAGCGCCGAATACAACGAACCTACAAGTATGCATTCGATACTCAATAGACTCATTCGCGTACACCAGTCTGTCCGACGCCAACCAGTGGGTGGCGAAACATGATTCTACATGTGCTTCTACCCGGGGCAAGGCCAAGGAAACCCCGACCGGAAGGAGAACCATGATTCGTCAAGCTGGCGCATGGGAAGGACGTAGGCCGCCTCGTGCGAAAAAGACTTAGTATCAAACGCGGCAGGAATATTTTTTACGTAGGTAACATCTGCCTGTTTGCGCACGCACCTCGACGATCTCTCGCATGGACTTCGACCCCTTCCTCCTCCTCGACCAACCGCCCCCCCCGTCCCCCTCTGACACCACCGCTCCTTCTCGCTCGCTCCGCTCTCGGCGGGGGAAGCCTCCCGCGTACCCCCTCCTCGCCTCTCTCCGCCCACGACCGCTACCATCCCCCCCCGTTTTGTTTCCCCGACGATCTCGGGAGCCGGGGTGTTGCCAGTCGCTCCTGGGCCCGAGGTCACCACCTGCTCCCTGAACTGGTACCAATCCACCCGCAAGGGCGAGGAGAGCAACAGCGAGGTGCAACGCCCTGATGGCCGTTGGGGTTGAGGGAACCGGACGCCGCCGCCGCCCCCGACCGCGGGTACTGGGGTGGCGTTGTCTCGTCGTCGGCACGTTGGTCGTAGCAGCGCCGGCGCCGGCGGCGGGGGCGGAGGGCAATGGGTGTTGCGCGTCATCTTTGGCTCGCCTACTAGAAGGCGCTCGTGTTGCCATCGGCGGTGGTATCAGCAGTAGTAGCTGGCGCCGTTTCATGTTGCACCGAAATGCATCGCCGAACCGTCTCCTTTGGTTGGTGCCGCCGTCTTCGACCATCA